AACCTCCCTTATTGCTCAACTGTGGCTAAAAGGGTTTTGACATTGACTCCTAGTCACCACCCACAGTAACCTCACCCAGTGTGTGGCAAGACCAGCAACCAGGACATCCCCGGGAAATCAAAACCCAAGTACAAGGCTGCACGCAGTGGCTCACACCTGTAATCCCAGCACTTTGGGAGGCTGAGGCGGGCAGATCACCTGAGGTCAGGAGTTTGAGACCAGCCTGGCCAACATGGTGAAACCCCATCTCTACTGAAAATACAAAACTTAGCCGGGCATGGTGGCGGGTGCCTGTAATCCTTGCTACTCAGAAGGCTGAGGCAGGAGAATCACTTGAACCCGGGAGGCAGATCGGAGGTTGCAGTGAGCCAAGATCGCGCCACTGCACTCCAGCCTGGGTGACAGAGTGAGACTCCGTCTCAAAAAAAACAACAAAAGAAACTAAAAGCTAAGTACAGAAAGACTGATCAGTGATGCCTGAGAAAGTTTTTTTGTTTTTTGTTTTTTTTTTTTTTGAGACGGAGTCTAGCTCTGTCGCCCGGGCAGGAGTGCAGTGGCCGGATCTCAGCTCACTGCAAGCTCCGCCTCTCGGGTTCACGCCATTCTCCCGCCTCAGCCTCCCGAGTAGCTGGGACTACAGGCGCCTGCCATCTCGCCCGGCTAGTTTTTTTGTATTTTTTTAGTAGAGACAGGGTTTCACCGGGTTAGCCAGGATGGTCTCGATCTCCTGACCTCGTGTCCTGATCTCGGCCTCCCAGTGCTGGATCCCAAACAGGCTCACGCGCCGGCTCCTGTTTTTTTGTTTTTAAACAGAGTCTCACTTTGTTGCCCAGGCTGGAATGCAATGGCACGATCTTGGCTCACTGCAACCTCTGCTCCGCCTCCCGGGTTCAAGCAACTCTCTCCTGCCTCAGACTCCCAAGTAGCTGAAGACGCATACCACCATGCCCAGCTAATTTTTGTATTTTCAGTACAGACAGGGTTTCACCATTTTGGTCAGGCTGGTCTCAAACTCCTGACCTCAGGTGATCTGCTTTCGCCTCAGCCTCCCAAAGTGCTGTTATTACAGGCATAGGCCATCTCGCCTGGCCTCTTTTTTTTTTTTTTTTTTTTTGAGACAGAGTCTTGCTCTGTCACTCAGGCTGGAGTGCAGTGGCGCAATCTCAGCTCACTGCAGCCTCTGCCTCCCAGATTCAAGCGGTTCTCCTGCCTCAGCCTCCAGAATACCTGGGACCAAGGCGCGCACCGCCATGCCTGGCCAATTTTTTGTATGTTTAGTAGAGATGGGGTTTCACCATGTTGACCAGGCTGGTCTCAGGCTCCTGACCTCGAGATCCTGTGGCCCCAGGCTGGTCTCAAACTCCTGACCTCGAGATCCACCTGCCTTGGCCTCCCAAAGTGCTGAGATTATAGGCATGAGCCACCACATCTGGCTGCCTGAGAAAGATCTCGATCAAAGGGGGAAATATGGCCGAGCACAGTGTCTGACACCTGTAATCTCAGTGCATTGGAAGGCTGAGGCGAGAGGATCTTTTGAGGCCAGGAGTTCACGACCAGCCTTAGCAACATAGTGAGACCCCTGCCTCTGCAAAAAAATCCTTAAAAATTAGCTGGGTCTGGTGGTGCACACCTGTGGTCCTAGCTACTTGTGAGACGGATGTGGGAGGATTGCTTGACCCTGGGAGGTGGAGGCCGCAGTGAGCTTTGATTACGCCACTGCACTCCAGCCTGGACAACAGAGTCCCCTCTCTCAAAAAAAAAAAAAAAAAAAAAAAAAAAAATTGCCTGGGTGCAGTGACTCAAACCTGTAATCCCAACATTTTGGGAGGCCAAGGCAGGAGGATCCCTTGAGCCCAGGAGTTTAAAACCAGCCTGGGAAACATAGGGAGACTCCATCTTTATTTATTTTTAAAAAATTTAAGAGGCCGGGCATGGTGGCTCACGCCTGTAGTCCCAGCACTTTGGGAGGCCGAGGTGGGCAGATCAGGAGGTCAGGAGTTTGAGACCATCCTGGCCAACATGGTGAAACCCCGTTTCTACTAAAAATACAAAAATTAGCCGGGTGTGATGGCGCACGCCTGTAATCCCAGCTACTCAGGAGGCTGTGGCAGGAGAATCACTTGCACCCGGGAGGTTCAAGCGATTGAAGGTTGAAACGGAGGTTGCAGTGAGCAGAGATCACACCACTGCACTCCAACCTGGAAAATACAGCGAGACTCCATCTCAAAAAATATATATATTAAAACATATTTTTAAAAAGGGGAAATAGGAAAGTTTTCAGAAGCAAAATGGAGTTATTAGTGTAAAAAATAAATCACCTGACAAATAGAGCCAGGGAAGATTATGAAGGGAGGGTTCTCAGCCTTGTATGCCTGATAAAAACTACCACGAAAGAGATGCAAAAACCACAACTTTGCCCAGAAAATACTTCTGCGAGGAAATCTGCCCAGCAACTGCCTGTCCAACCCTGGACTGGCATCATCTTGTCATTCATCCTCGTAGCCAAGGACAATCATTTCAAAACAATTATGTCATCCTCATTTTCCTTTAAAACCCTTTTTCTTTCTTTACCTTCCTTAATATACACACAGTTTACTATGGCACACGTATTCCCTCCCAAATAAATATCCACATCCTCTAGAGAGCCTCTTTCTGTTTCATATTTAGGTTAGGAGGTCCTAATTCCATTCTCCAATACAAGGAACTCAGGGCCAGGCACGGTGGCTGTAATCCCAGGACTTTGGGAGGCCACGACAGGAGGATCACTTGAGCCCAAGAGTTTGAGACCAGCCTAGGCAACCTTGTCCCTACTAAAAATACAAAAATACCCAGGCGTGGTGGCATGCACCTGTGGTCCCAGCTACTCAGGAGGCTGAGGTAGGAGGATTGCTTGAATCCAGGGGGTGAAAGCTGCAGTGAGCTATAATCACGCCACTGCACTTTGGCCTGAGCAACAAAGTGAGACTGTGCATCAAAAACAAACAAACATAAGCAAACCAAACAAACAAACACAAAACAAGGACTGGGGCAGAAAAAACACAATCTTATAGTTGCATAAAGTAAGAACGCGCTCAACACAAACAAAATCCTCAGTCAAGGGTGGGGCGTGGTGGCTCATGCCTGTAATCCCACCACTTTGGGAGGCCGAGGCGGACGGATCACCTGAGGTCAGGAGTTCAAGACCAGCCTGGCCAACATGGTGAAACCGCATCTCTAGTAAAAATACAAAAAATTAGCTGGGCGTGGTGGTGGGCACCTATAATCCCAGCTACTCAGCAGGCTAAGGCAGGAGAATCACTTGAACCAGGGAAGCAGAGGTTGCAGTGAGCCGAGATCGTGCCAATGCACTCCAGCCTGGGCAACAAGAGTGATACTCTGTATCAAAATAATAATAATAATTATACACTTTATAAATAAATAAATGTCACATGAGATCCAGACGGGGCCCTTGCACAGAAAAAAGGACATTAGAGAAAAACTCAGGAAACCTGAATAATGTGTGGATTGTGCTTAATGACAATGTATCATTACGGTTCATTCACTGTGACCAATGGACCATGATAAGATAAAATGTTAATTACAGAGGAGAGTGGGTATAAGGTGTATGGGCACTTCAGCCATTATGGAAACAATGTGGCAATTCGTAAGAAATTAAAAATAGAACTGCCACAGGGCCCAGCAGTCCTTCCCCTGGGCCTGTACCCAAATGAATCAAGCTCACCACCCATCTAGGTGTCCACACTCACCCACGTCCACCACAGCACTACCCACAGCGGCCAAAGCGGGGAACCACCTGGGCATCCACCAGTGGCCGGACAGATAAGGAGAATGTGGTGTATATGATCACATGGAGAGAGATGACGGACTATTGTTCAGCCTTAAAAACAGATCCTGCATTTGCCACATGGATGGACTGGGGGTCACGATGCAGCAAGACAAGCCAGACACAGAAAGAAACATCACAGGATGTCACAAATATGCAGAATCTTAAAAATACATAAATAAATAAAGGCAGGGGTATTGGGTGTGGAGGCTTACACCTATAATCTCAGGATTTTGGGAGGTCAAGGTGGGAGGATCACTTGAGCTCAGGAGTTTGAGACCAGCTTGGGTAACATAGTAAAACCCCATCTCTACAAATTCTTTTAAAAATTAGCTCAGTGTGGTGGTGTGCACCTGTGGTCCCAGCTCTCTGGGAGGCTGAGGCGGGAGGATTGCTTGAGCCCAGGAGGTCAAGGCTGCAGTGAGCTGTGGTCGTACCACTGCACTCCAGCCTGGGCAAGACAGCAAGAAGCTGTCTCAAAAAAATAAATAAATAAAAAGGTGGGGATCAAATATATAAAGACAGAATAAAACAGTGGGCGACAGGGTGAGCCCCTTCAAACGGGCTTGTGTGCACCTGAGGGCTACAGAGAATAATTATGTTCCAGGTGTTTGCTAATGCGTGGATCATGGCTGCTCTGACTGTGGGAGGAAGACGGGTGCCTGTGAGATGATGCAAAACTCACCCATTCCGCTGTGGTCACCAATTTACTGCATATATGTACCCTACAACATCACGATGTACACCTTAAATGCACACAATAACATTTATTTTTTAAAAAGATACGTGGGGCCGGGCACGGTGGCTCACACCTGTAATCTCAACACTCTGGGAGGCCGAGGCGGGCAGATCACCTGAGGTCGGGAGTTCGAGACCATCCTGACCAACATGGAGAAACCCCGTCTCTACTAAAAATACAAAATTAGCTGGGCGTGGTGGCACATGCCTGTAATCCCAGCTACTCGGGAGGCTGAGGCAGAAGAATCGCTTGAACCTGGGAGGTGGAGGTTATGGTGAGCTGAGATTGTGCCATTGCACTCCAGCCTGGGCAGTAAGAACAAAACTCCATCTCAAAAATAAAAAGTAAAAAGATACGTGGGAACTTTCCTATATTTATAGTTTTTCTGTAAATTTAACTTCTAAAAATTTAGAACTTTATTTTTAAAAAAACAACAGACTGCTCACTTCAGCACCACCTATCCTAAAATTGGAACGACACAGAGATTAGCATGGCCTCTGCACAAGGATGACACAAAAATTCATGAAGTGTTCTGTATTTTTATATTATAAATAAAAATAAAAAATAAACAACACACACATACAAAACTGTGCCTCAAAACATGTCATCTAGGGGCTGGGTGCAGTGGCTCACGCCTGTAATCCCAGCAGTTTGTGGGGACGAGGTGGGTGGATCACCTGAGGTCAGGAGTTCAAGACCAGCCTGGACAACATAGTGAAACCCCATCTCTACTAAAAACACAAAAATTAGCCAGGCGTGATGGCGCATGCTACTCTGGAGGCTGAGGCAGGAGAATTGCTTGAACCGGGAGGCGGAGCTTGAAGTGAGCCGAGATCGCAGCACTGCGCTCCAGCCTGGGCGACAGCGAGACTCCATCTGAAAAAAAACACAAAAATATGTCAACTAGGAACACCTGTGTTCTGTGTGCTGTTCTGCCTGAGTCTGCTGCAAGGACACCTGCCCCCAGCCTGCCGGGGCGTGGCTGAGCTGCCTAGGCCTCCACCCACCTGCCCAACCTGCTCGCACACCACAGCCCATGGGTCCACTGGGAAGAACCTCAGGTGCAGTGAGGCCTCAGAAGCCGACCTCAGTTGCACGCAGGTGGGTGACAGGGCACGCAGCGTCATCTGCAGAGCGCCCAGTGGGCACTGCCTCCCATGGCCCCTGGGCCGCAGGGTTTCCCAGGCTGGGTCAAAGCTAATTTCCCCAAATGCCATACGAAGTGACAGCAGATTATTTCCTCTGCAACAAATAGCTAAAATTAAGGAATCTGAAAATTTTACAAAGGCAATATTTGTTAACTTTAATAAATTCGAGATGAAGAGATTAATTTTGTTTTCTCATTATTGTTCAGAATGAGCACTTCTGGGATAAAGACATATTCAGCCGTCCTGAAATAAATAAATAATGGCACCCAGTCTTCTAGGGGCAGAGCCTGCAGAGAGGCGGCTGGGCTTGGACTCTGGTGTGAGCGCCCGGCCTGTGGCTCACCCTGGGATGTCCAGGGCGCCTGGGCTGCCTGGGCACCTGCTCTGGGTTGGAGTGGACAAACCTAGGCAGCGCTCGGCCAGCAACGAGGAGCTGGTGAGTACAGCTCTCGTGATGGAGGCCGGCTAGGGGGGACGCTGAGAGCAGGGGGCCCAGAACCCACCCATGCAGGGCTACAGTGCGTGGGGTTGAAGGGGTTTGTTTCTGTGGCGCCGCCCAAATCTCATGTTGAAATGTAAGCCCCGTGTGTTGGAGGAGGGGCCTAGTGGGAGGTGACGGGCTCATGGGGGCAGACTTCCCCCTTGCTGCTCTCACGGAAGTGAGTTCTCAGGAGATCTGGTTGTGTAAAAGTGTGTAGCACTTCCCTCTTCGCGCTCTCTCTCCTGCTCTGGCCACATGAGACGTACCTGCGTCCCCTTCACCTTCCACCTTGAGAGCTTCCTGAGGTCTCCCCAGCCATGCTTCCTGTACAGCCTGTGGAACTGTGAGTCAGCTAAACCTCTTTTCTTTATAAATCACTCAGTCTCAGGTAGTTCTTTGCAGCGGTGTGAGAACGGACTCATATAGGGCTGAAATGCTGCGGAAGAGGTGCTGAGAAAGGGAAAAGCATCGTTTACCAGGAAGGGGGCGCACCCAGGAAGGGGGTGGAGCATGTTCACCACGGAAGTGCGAAGGCAGCCCAGGCGCCCGCCACGGAGGAATGTACAGAATGTGGGCCGAGCACGGTGGCTCATACCTGTGAGCCCAGCACTGTGGGAGGCTGAGGTGGGAAGATCACTTGAAATAAGGAGATCGAGACCAGCATGGCCAACACGGTGAAACCCCGTATCTACTAAAAATACAAAAATTAGCTGCGCGTGGTGGCGGACGCCTGTAATCCCAGCTACTCGGGAGGCTGAGGCAGGAGAATCGCTTGAACCAGTGGGGCGGAGGCTGCAGTAAGCAGAGATCGCGCCGCTGCACTCCAGCCTGGGCGACAGAGTGAGACTCCATCTCAAAAATCAATTAATGAATTAACAAACATTCAAAAGTCAACAACAAGGGGTTGAGGACCTCCACTGGTGGTGTTCATGGCAGCAGGGAAGCCAGGTACCAGTGCATGAGGACGTGGAACCAGGACTACAAAGACGCTGGGCTGAGGAGAAGACCAACCAGGCTGGGGCTGGCATAGGGTCCAGGGAGGGCCCATCTCTGAAATGGGTGACATAAGCCAAACACAGTGCTTTGTGCTCAGGCCTCTCTGCATTGGGCTTCCTGTCACTTACACACACAGAGCCTTGAATGGAATTCACCGTGAGTGATACAACCAGGGGCACAGCACCCCCTCCTCACTGCCTGACGCAAGGGTCCTGGGTCCCCACAGCAGCGACCGTGGGCAGGGCCACCCGGGGGCTGCCCATCAGAGTGTCTGTACCCGGATGGCTACATTCCAGGGCTGGGCACCTCTGGCTTTCCTAGAACCTTCACGTAACAGCTAGGAGCCCCAAGTATGTGCCCCACAGAGCCCCAACAATAGTGCCCGACTGTCATTTGCCCATCTTCATGGTCCACAGACATCGCTACCTGAGCCTCCAGCCAGGGGCAGGAAATGAGCTGATGGGCCCAGCCTAGGTTTAATGGTCCAGGCATGGGGCAGCATCACTAAACCCTGGGCTGACAGGGACAAAGGTGGCTTTTCAAAAGGAAATTGCAGGGTAAGGGAGATGGATAGCAGGCAAGGCTGGATCAAGGGGCTCAGAAGATGTGAGGCAATGTGTGTGTGCGCGTGGTAAACACAAATACAGTATATGGTTATTGTGGGTCTTTTCTGCTTTCTGCTTTTCTTGTTTCTCATAAATTGTTTAATTTGCTCAACAATATGTCTGAGGCTGGACACAGTGGTTCATGCCTGTAATCCCAGCACTTTCGGAGGCCGAGGTGGGTGAATTACCTGAAGTCAGGTGTGGCATTTGAGACCAGCCTGGCCAACATGGTGAAACCCCATCTCTACTAAAAATATAAAAAGTAGCTGGGTGTGGTGGCATGTGCCTGTAATCCCAGCTACTTGGAAGTCTGAGGCAGGAGAATTGCTTGAATCTGGAAGGCGGAGCTTGCAGTGAGCTGAGATTGCGCCACTGCACTCCAGCCTGGGTGACAGAGCAAAACTCCATCTCAAAAAAGAAAAAAATCCAACAATATGTCTGAGTGGCCCTGCTGATACACTTGGATCAAATCCCTTCTTCCTGGCTTCAAGGCAGTGTTCTGTCTTTGGGACATGTCCCAGTGTGGTCAGCCCGGGGCAGCCACCAGCTGACACAGCAGCTTCGTGGGTCTTGGAAAGGTGCCTGATTCCTCACGGGCTATGGCCCCCCTGTGGGGCCATGGATCCATAAACAGGGTGCAGGTGGGACTCCAGCCTCTACCCACGCCCTTGGCCACAGCCAGCAGGACACATGGCGCTGGATCAGCCAGTCAGCCATGGGTGGGCACGTGGGCAGTTTCCGAATTCTTTCCTATTACAAATCATACTGCAACACCATGCTTGCATTAGCCTTCTCGTGCAAAGACGGAAGTATCGCTCCAGAGCAGACACCAAGAACGCTGGCCGCAGAACATGCGCTTCTTGAATCATAATAGCTGCTACCTGGTGGCCCTCCCGAGGGGCTGTACCAGGAGCCCGAGTGCCCACTCCCCACACCCTCCTCTGCACATGATAATATGTGATTTTTCCCCTCCCTCCCTCCCTTCCTCCCTCCCTTCCTTCCTTCCTCCCTTCCTCCCTCCCTCCCTCCTTTTTCTTTCTCTCTTTTTCTCTTTCTCTTTCTTTCTTTTTCTTGGCAGGGTCTCGCTCTGTCTCGCTGGAATTCCTGTGCTTAAGTGATCCTTCCACCTCAGCCTCCCAAGTAGCTGGGACCGCAGGCACACACTACCATGCACGGCTATTTTTTTGTATTTTTAGTAGAAACATGGGTTTCGCCATATTGGCCAGGCTGGTCTCAAACTCCTGAGCTCAAGCGATCCGCCAGCCTCGGCCCCCCAAAGTGCTGGGATTACAGGTGTGAGCCACCGTGCCCAGTCATGATTTTTCAGCATTGCAGAGCTGATGGGGGAAAGGTGATTTCTTGTGAGGCTTGGATCTCAGCTGTTTTCAGATGCCTGAATCGGGTGGCAGGCTTGAAGGGAACACAGCAGCTGTGGTGCCACACAACTGCTTTGAGGAAGGCCACATTCCCGATGTCTAACCAAGCATCTCCAGGTCACCAGCCACCACCAGGCCTTTCTGGGGAGAACTGTGGCCTGCCTGTAAGGCCCCTTCTCACATTTGTACACCCCAAGCCACTGTCGCCCATAAACAAGCCATCTCCCTTCACTGCCAGCAAGCCCTGCGGTGAAGCCTCTTGCCAGCACCGAGCCACAGCCCCTTGACAGCGTCCTGTTGCAAGTCTCAGATGCGTAGGAGCCCCGTGACGCAGTGGGGGTGGTGGCCGTGTCGCCTCTTCTGAGCCCTTGACCCAGCTTTGCCTGCCATCCACCCTCCCTTCCTCTGATTTCAGCACCTCTGATTTCCTGTAGAGAATCCCTTCCAGCCCAGGGCTGCAGCTCACTTCCCTGCCCCTGGCCCCACAATCAGTTCCTGACCCAGAATCCAGAAAGAGGTGGCCTTGGGACCGTTGGTTGAGAAAGCGTCTGTCTCTGGCTGGGCCTGCTGCGCAGGAAGGATGACGGGAGCTGCCCTGGGCCGTCTTTGCCCCACACAGAGATGGAGTGAGAGAAATCGCGTTCTGATGCTGTTGCTGTGTGACTTGGTCCGGCCCTGCCTGACTTTAGCACATGCTGGGACACCACCGTTCCTGAGCCCCACACACTTCCTTTCCTTGACTACAGCCGCTTTGGCTGGGTCTCTGCTCTGGAAACAAGGGTGTCCTGATGCACTTGGTCAAAATCCCGGATGAGGCCAGGCGTGGTGGCTCACTCCTGTAATCCCAGCACTTTGGGAGGCCGAGGTGGGCGGATCACCTGAGGTCAGGAGTTCAAGACCAGCCTAGCCAACATGGTAAAACTCCGTCTCTACTAA